TTTAATTGTTTTTATTTCAACACGTAATCTTTACCTTTTGTGCCTCCAATTTTCCTCTCCATCCTACTGCAGCAGGAAGGGGAGGAGGATAGGGAAGTGAGCAACTGGTGCTTGATTTGGAGTGTTTCAGTGGGAACAGTAAAGTGGGGAATGCCATTCCTAAACTACAACAGGTAGTTAATGTGGTTTGTTGTGGATGACAGTCATGACTCTGATCCAGTATATCTCAGGTTGCAAGGGCTAGGGAGGTGCATATACCTTGTTAAAGATCAAGTCATTTGACAAGCCTTGCATCCGCTCTGTGGTCTACTTCTATAGCACTTGTTGGCTGATGGGTGGTAGGCTGGCACCATTGTTTTAACAAAAATAGTAAATATTTTGTGATTGTACTGTCAAGAGATAACATTCAGCTGAATTGCTTCCTTTAGAAGAAACAAAACCCCATCCATTTTTTGAAATACCCCGAGTAACAATTAAGTGCGTAATTTACACAATGATTTCCCCTTAACAGTTCCAAATTCTGGATTAGCAAAGGTTGATCCCTTAACTGACCATTGAATGCTCACCCTTTTTTAAACTACAGGTTAGGTGCTCATTGTTGAAAATACACTTACAATTTTTTTTTAGAATTGTTTTGTCTAATTCATCCTTATTGAATGTACTTGAGTGTCCTCTTTAAAATGAACTGGAAAAAATTTTCCTGCTCTTCTTCATACTGCTACCCATCAATCTCTTACAAAAAATATTCTGAATATAAAATAATATTGAGTATGGTCTCATTATTTATGTACTACAGATTAGAACAGACCATTTTGGGCTTTTTGCCACTCTGATCCAGATGTATCCATTATGGAGAACATGCTATCTATGCTGTTGCCTACATCCTAGAGCAGTTACCTTGTGACCTACAGTGTCTTTGCATTTCAAAATCCAAATTAATACCATCTGTTTAAGCTATTTAATTCTCTTTTCTGTGGCCTAAGGAAAACAAAATGATTTTTAAAAGCTGATGCATTGCTACAATATTCATTCAAAGAGGTCAGCTACATCTTCTTGTTAAAATTCGGCAGAAATATTCTAAATAAGATGCCATTTGAACAGTTTTGCAGCTATATTCATTCAGATATATTTCCATGTCTGAGAAAATAATAACCATGAAAACAATTTTAAATTAACTTTTTCACTTTTACATATAATTTGCCTCTTTACCTTTAAGATTTGTAATCTTGCCAAGATCGTTCTCCTCATTCATCTTGTTGCACTCTATGATTCATTCTTTGCACATACATGAATGCTGTACCTTCAATGCCACTTACTTATGGCATTAAAATGAGTGAATAAATGTCAGAACTGAACAAGTCTTGACTGTCAACTGTAAGCTTCTCTAGCATTCATGGCTAATGCTCTAATCACTGGTGCAAAACATTGAAATAATTTGCTTTCCCTGCATGTTTTTCCTGGCCAGGATGCATAGGGGAGTAGTGTGCTCAGTCATAATCATGCTCCACAAAGGCTGGAGATGTTCCCCTTGAGCTGCCAATCAGTAGGTTAGCCAAAGTGAAGACAAGCCCAATGACAAGTGATAATGGCAATAATTTATTTTCTATTGATGGCTGGTGACATATCACTTTTTGGAGCCGTGGCTGCCTACTGTGGGGCTACATGACTGAAGATGGTGATGGCCCTAGAGGAGGCTCTTCACAGCTCATTTAGCCCACTTGGGTGATGAATCGGTTCAAAGTACCAGCCCAGGCATTTTCCCACAAAATTTGCTGTCAAAATGTGGATTGGAACACAAAAAGGACTAAAATGCAGTCATGTGAGAAAATAAAGGATAAAATTTCCATCACATGAATCCAGGTATAGAAAAGAGATTGGAAGAAGAATTAAGTGAAATATTAAGGGTGCTTTCAGTAGGAGTAGGTCAGTACATATTTTAGCTAATAAAAGCAGAGTGAGGTTTTATTTAAGCTTCGGCACACCCCCTCCAACTTTCAGCTGACAGGTCAAATTTATTTATATGCTTCCTACCAGTGGATAACACAATACATATCTTATTTAAACTTACTTTTGCCAAGGTCCACTGATGTGCTTAGCATCTGACATCTCATGCTGTTTCAGAATGCAGATGAATATGAAAAGCCTGCCCTGTTAATTTATCAATTATATTTTTTTATCTCTATAAAAAAAAATATATTCAGTACTTTATTTAGAGGTCTGGCTCTAAGGGGCTTGCATACTTTTTTTTTCAGTATGATTTTCGTTCCTAAAAAATTCTGCTGTTGTTACTTGAAGTCAGATATTCTCTTAAGCAGAGATCCTTGAATCCTCTGAATGGAAGCTAAGCATTGCTTCACATGTTGTGGGGGTTTGCACTTTCTTTTCATATTGCCCATTGCCTTGGAGGGAAGAAACAACCAGAGGGTCAAAGTTTCTTTTACCTTCAGAAAAACTATAATGTTAAGCATCTCTCTTGTCTGGCTTGTGCTGGAACAACATCTTCCGTGGTAGCCCCATCCTTTGCCTAAATATAGAAGAAATAATTTGTGTTTATACAAGCAAGGATTGTATATGGCAAGACATGTAAATGTCAGAATTAAGGTTTACTATGCTACACTTCTAAAAAATTGTTCTATTTAAACTATTAAGACTGTCTTTTTATTTACTCAGAACTAGTCAAAGGCTCTCATCTGGTAATACGGTTTAAGTGATCTCAAATGTAATGAGCAAATACATATTTGACAGTGTAACTATCTACATATTGTATTTGTTTGTCTTCTAATCATGTTAAATTATAACTTATTTGAGAAAATATAAAACAAAGGGAGCAGAACTAGAGTTATTATGTCTTTTAGGTAATTTTGGCTTCCTGGTTTGTGTACAAAAAAGTTAAGTTTTATGATGGTTTATTATCATATTGTGTGCAATACAGAGGCAAGTAAATAACATTTAATGTGCCAGGGAATCTGTGAGAAGCAATAATTATCTCAGTAAATTTTATATTTTGCTGAGCTTCTTCTAAAGGGACATATGCCATTCCTACTTCTTTAAGGTATCACACAGTGGTCCTTAGAAGCACACTGAAAATACAATGGTTGAAAGGTAAAAAAATAACATTATCTTTCAATATACAGACATATTATGACAAAATATATGTGGTTTATTTACACTAGGTAATAGTTTTTGTAGGTTTTCTGTATGTTTTTGTTTCAGATTTTTAGTGCAGCTAATCCAAAAATAGTGTGAAAACAGTGTATCCTGTATGAAGTATAGAGTATGCAGCTCTATACTTCCTGGAAGTTGCACTTATATTGAAAATATAGTAATGAATTTTTATAAATAATTCATTATACTGGCACTTGAAAAATTTACTTTTATTTGGCATTGTTTTGTACTCTAAGGTAACATGACAGGATAACTGTCTTGCATAAAACCCAAGATCATCACTCTTTTTCACTGCCTATCAACCCGTTGGAGCTTAACTAAGCCTTAATGATAAGGTCCGCAAGATTACTACACCTGAGAGAAAAATCTGTGAGACAGACTTTCTAATTAATCATTGGTGGTGTTCAAGAAGGTTTTGTTATTTCTGTGAACATTAGAATTTATGTAGTCTATTACAAGTGCTGATTGCTAAAACTGCAGCTCATTTTTATTTCTTCAGATCTGTAGCTCTTTTTGTACCATTTTTACCCCTCTGTTTGGAAGGACACACAGAAGGTGTATATAGAGGGAGACAGGTCTAACTTGTTTGCTCCTTGAGCATTTGGAGAAAAGACTGATGAGAAAGAGAGGGAAGAGAAGAAAAAAAGGAATGTCAAGGGCAGCAGTTTGATGGCTGGGGCTTTGAGCAACCTAGTCTAGTGGAAAGTGTCCCTGCCCATGATGGGAGGTTGGAGTGAGATGATCTTTAAGGTCCCTTCCAACCGAAACCACTCTATGAGTCTGTGAATTTCAAACATAGATCATTGAGGAGAAGAAAATAACAAACACCCCATGTGAAACTGACAATCACATAGTTGGCAAACAGTGTGGAGTGAAAATCCTACAAAATAGTTCAAGACTTACCTTGTATGGCTATCTTATTTTTCAAAAATGTCAGAAGCTTCTAACAGTGCCCATTTAGTGAGATACGTTTGGTGGTATCCCTCCTTTTGTTCAGGCTGGATGGAGAGCTCTTACTGCTGGAATACAGGCACTCAAGAGCCAGGAAAGGTGGAAAAAACTTCTGGCCTCTCACACTATCCATGTGCTGAGACTCCTTATTAAAAATCCTTCTTTTGAAATTGAGTTCTGGAAATTAATCTCTGCCACACCAGCTTCCCCTCCAGTATTGTGCAGTTTTAGAGAAGCTCACCTGAGACTATGACCAGGAAGGACGGGGAAGCTGGAGGAAAAATCTTGTTAGTCACCCCTTTTAAAACAAAGTAGAACTGTCCACAGTGATTTTTATTAATTTAATGTCTGTGTATTTCTAATGAAATCACTTGCAGCAAAGAGAACAGGTAGAGCACAAGGAAAAAAAAACTGAGCTGAAGGATTATTTTGTTCCTTTGCTTCTTCAGTGAAAACTAGAGTGCACCAGTTAAGAAGACTATGAACTCTGGGCCTCAGTAATCTTTCTCTATCTTGTTTTTGCAATCTATTAAATAGAGATACATTTCTCTATGTTGCTGTTTTGAGAAGATTATATTAAAAAATCAAATGTATGCATTTATCGTGCCACTGGAAATCTCCATACAGAAAGCTGAAGAACTGCAGTGCCAATTCTCTTATAAGGAGGCAGTTAGAAGTCCTTTAACCATATCTCCTTCTGAGCACCTCAAAGACAGAAAGACATATGTTTCCTCATCCCATTGTCACAGATCAATGTAGTGTTGCCCCTACCTATGTACAAACTTTCTTCCTTTTCCATGTTGGCATGTCTGTCTTCTTTTACCATCATATCCACATGCTTTATTCCTATACCCCTGAAACTCTGGAAGTTTCAGCCTCTTTTGAATAGGTTCTTTTCACGAAAGGATATCCTTACCTGTCCTGTAGGTGGTGTTCCCTTACTTTCCTGCAAGTGAGACACAGCAAGGAAGCTTCTCCTTGTTTATATTTGCTTCCTGGGTTTTCCCTTGTTTCATCAGATCACAGGAGGGAGTCAAATGCCAGTGAAGACTTCCACACTGGATTTCTGCATCCTTAAACAAAGCTACAGATTTAATTGCTCATGTTCATCAAAAATATATTAAAAAAAGCCAGACTTTGATATGTCTTCCTTTTTTACTCATAGAAAGCTCTTCCATAGCTTCATATTGCCTAGTTTGCTAGAACTAGATCTACAGTCTGAAAAAAATAGTTAACAAGTCTATATATAGTTAGCAATGATATACAGTCCAACAAAGGCTGCAGATAGCTACATATATTTATGCTGGATTTGGGGGACATCAAACACTGGAGCAGTTGCCCAAAGACGCTGTGGACTTTCTGTCCTTAGAAAGTCAAGACTTCACTGAACATGGACCTGAGCAAACTGATATAGTTACACTTGGTTTTAGTGCAGGGTTGGGCTAGATGACTTCTAGAGATCCCTTCCAACTTTAATGATGAATAGCAGTGAATGTGTTCAGATTCTAATGGAGAATGTTTGCATACGGTATTGAGCAGCTTTAACCTATGGAACCTGGTTGAAGACCAGGTTGGGAGACTTGTGAAAGTCTATTGGTCCAGTGCTCAAAATGAGTTAATCTCACACCAGAGTGACACCACTTGGAAGAATAAAAGGAGCAATTTTATTAGTAAGATTGAGAAAAGCAATGCGGCTAGTAAAACTGAGAAACATTAAAGCCAGATCAGAATATAGGGACTGATGTAAATCCTGGAGAACTTGAGACTGTGTGATCTGAAAGAATATTTGGCACGTGTAATTTCATGAAGATTGACTATTTTATGCACAAGTTCAGGCTAAAGATGGATACATCATGGTAATATTCAATTTTAACTAAAAGGCAACCACTGTGCCCCCATCATTAAGCTGTAATTCTTACCTAAACTTCAACTAGATTTTTCACCAGAATTTTTTTTGTATGATTTAAAATACCATGTAGATACATTACAGAATCTTCATTTAAATATATATTTAATGAGAAATGTTTTACAGTTTTAATGAGTCTTAAAAGTCTTTTGATGAGCAGTCAGTGTAATTATGGTATTTAAAATGATTGGATAAATGCATACATTTTAATTTACCTTCCTCACAACTGAGTTTTCATGCTGGGTATTTTTAACATGAAGAATTGTTTCATTTTGTGTCAGTTTATCTTCCTCTTCCTTCCAGAAAATGTTTTATCTCTGAAATAAAATTAAATATGCATGATACTAGTATTATTGGATAATATTGTAATAGCACAGTTAAAAATCTATCCAGGAGATGAAAATTATTTTGATTTTGTTAGAGAAGTGACAAAATTGATGATTTGTTATCCAGAAGTAAATTACAGAGTAGCTCTGTCCTATATGTGTTGTCTCTGTAGTGCTTGAGGAAATTACCTGCAAAATTTCTGCAGAAGACGTTGCACTAGGTACTACGCTACTGTGGGAAAAAATTCCTCCTTTGAATTTAGAAAGATGGCATAAACTCATGAAACAAATATCAACAAGGAAGAATTTATTCAGTGCGCTGGGTCTTCCTCACACCAAGTTTCCGGGAAGAAAGACCCGTTGAGTTTAATTTCATGCATTTTATAGTTTTACAAAATCCCACCCTTTTTCAGATAAGTTTAATATAGTCATTTTTGCCTAAAAAGGTTTCTTTTCTCTGAAAAGGGGCTTTCCCTTCCTTCCAATTAGCTGCGAGGCATCCTCTGTCAAAAATGATGGATCTTCCCTTGTTCTTAGCCCAAAGAGAGAAAAGAAACCCCTGTGTACAAAATTTGCCAAATGGCCCAGAAAGATTTTAATTTTTAGGAACTTTATATTTCCCTTATCCCGACCGCAAAAGAACCCTGGTACCCAGTCCAGTTTGGAACTGCATACCTTACAACTTCACAATGCGCCTATAATTTTGTTTTATAATAAAACCGTATTTTATTTCTCATAATATCAGCAATCTGCTTTACTACCACAACATAAAGAAAGAGAGACTCAGCAAATTTAGACAGATAAGGATGTTATAGAAATAGCAGTTAAAAAGGAAAAACTGGGCTTGTCGTTGCATTGTATGCTGTATCACACAACCTACATGAAGACCATTAACTGTCACATGCTGAGCCTTACAATTTGTTGTTCAGAAGCAGTACACATTGGCTCCTAGTTAACTGTTACTTTGATATTTTTCTTTTTGTGTGTGTTTAGGTAAGTTTTTTGTTAATGAAAACTGAGCTCATAGTAAGTTGAGTCTTTAATACAGAATAGATAAACTAAAATTAGTACAACGAGCCTAAAGAAAGCAGTGAACAAGAATATTGTTTCTCAGGACCAATGTCAGATTCTCCTGAAATGCTGCAGGAGGTTCACCTTTCCCCATGGTCCACAGATCTTTATATTTGCTAACTGAATGAGTACTTCAGGTAAAAAATACTTGATTATAGCACAACATGTGTCAACAATTCCCATGCTCTGATTTGATCTCATTTGGCATGCAAATTGCTGGCCGTGAGGTAGCTGTTCCCCATCAGCAAAATGTTTTAGTATTTTATCCAGGAAAGAATATAAAAGAAGGCTAAAAATGATGCTTGCTTGAAATATTGGTCTACATCCAGCAAATTGAGGTCATAGTTCCAAGCTTTGTATGGATCTGTGCATGTATTTTCACCTTGCAGCATTCACCAGCAGTTAATACAAACCCTCTTTTGTATCAGCAATGCTAGGCTCAGAAATTTCCCTCCTCCTCTTGGCAAAAGAATATGAAAATTTATTCTGTTCTATTAAATTACTTTTGTGTCATTCATTGTCCACCTTTAAGTGTATCTACGTGCTTTGCAAGTAGATACTTGTATAATAGCATGGATGTACTGTCTTCTTCATATCTTACATGTGTACTGTCATATGGGAAGGCTCAAGTTATATTAATTTCTGTCATAGAATATGTCTATTGAACTTTTCTTCTAAATATTTAACCTCTTATTTTGAACATAATTTATTACAAAGTCAAGTAGCCTCAGATTTCTACACAACTTTCCGACGGGTGCCAGTTCCATTTTGCCATGCACCGATGTGTAACTTAATAGTACCAAAGAGAGTTCTAGCTGTGTTCCTACAACTTTTTCTGGTGTTTGGTTTTTTTTTTTATTTGTTTTCTTTACATTGAAGCACACTTAAATATTTTAATATGATATTTCCACAAACCTTTTTAATTATGGCTCTCTTGTACTTAATATTCCCTTTGTGAAAAATTGTTGAGTTTAATAATTTCCACAGTTGATACGTCTGTCTAGTAAACACTGATTTTTACATACTTAACAGCTTTATGATCTGCAATACCATTTATGGATATTGAGAATACTAATCTAGAAATAGCACATAATTTTCTTCTGCCATAAACAAATAAATCTGTGCTGATTAATATCATTGCTACAAAGCTTCTATGAATATACTTAAAATTAGTTTATCAGAAACTGATAATTCCATCCTTTATTTTCTTTCATATGTTTGAGGGTTTTTTTATTATTGACAAAACAAGCTTTTAAACAGCCTTAACACCTTCTTAAACTTTCCTGGGAACTTCTTTACTCTTTTTATGTTTTTGTTTCATCCAACTTTCTGTGCACATATGTCTTGTTCCTTTTATCCTCATGCCTTCTTTTCTTTTTGATTTCAGCTGGTTTCATGAAGCAAAATGCCTTTAGTCTTAAAAATATTTTCATCTTTGAAATAATTGCATAACTTACTTTTTCAATTTACTTATATTTCCATGGATTTAATATATTCCTTCAAGATAAAGACTCTTTGCATGGACCCATCTCCAGCCATATCTTATTCTTTCTCATGGCCTGTTATGACCAACAATCCTTGGTTGGCTCCACAGCCATCCGGCTATTAGCACTTGAGCCTCTTATCTTCTGGGATCCTGCCACCTATCAAAGGTTCTTATGCTCATAAGAATCTTTATGTAGCCATTACAAGCACTTCATCTCTTCCTGTGAAGTGACCCAGTCACTAAAAAATGGTGTAAGTAGACAAAAAATAATACTTTTACACAGTGCCCACTTCTATCTTCATGGTTTCAGCCATATCTGTGGCTGTTTCAGATACTTCAGAATCAGAAGAACTGCTGTTTATGATGAAATAGACATTGCAAGTGCCAGCTGCAGCAGATACATTAGGTTTTATGATCCTAAGGCTCTCTGTCATTTCTGAATTTGTCATGCTTGTTAAAAATACTGAATAATTAAAACAATTTCAATACATTTTTGACAGTTTATTCTTTTAATATTTTTATCCTAGAATAAAATCCACATGATGCTCCACAATTATGTAGTAAAAATGCTATTTACCTTGAGCAGAAATATAGAGAAAATTAGAATTTCAAAAAAAAAGAGAGAAGCATTGCACTAAATTTAGCTGCATGGTCTCATTTGTTTATTTATTTATTTGGTGGCTGTTTGTGAAGGAATTAAGCTTTTTCTGAAAGCGCTGAACTTTGTGCTGATTTCTGATCTTTAGAAATACGAAGTTCAGAAGTTCAAATATAGCAATGAATTTTTACATTTTTTATCTCTCTCAGATCTGTCCTAATCAGCATTGATCTAATGGTGTTGCATAGCAGCATGTTCTCTGAAATGTGCAAGCAGCTGCAAAGAAGTTAATAGCCTACAGATTCCTGTTTCAAATGCTGGAAATAGTATTAAGTAATAGTAATTTTCCAGATACTGTAGGCTCCAGTGTATCTGGGTTTTTTTGGGCATCTTCCAAAATTTCGTATGTAGTATTTGGATGGTCAGCAAAACCTCTACTTTGGACTTCCAGAGAGTGGACTCCAAGCCATTCTCCATCGTTTATCATCCGTCCTGGCTAACTGGGGAGGTCCCAGATGAGTGGAGGTTGGACAAGGTGATATCCACAAGAAGAGGCAGAAGCAGGATCTGTGGAACTACAGGCCTCTCAGCCTGACCTCAGTGTCTGGTAAGGTTATGGAAAGATCATCTTGAGTGTCGTCACGCAGCACATAAAGGAGGACCAGGGAATCAGGCCCAGCCTGATTCTAAAACCGTATGGGTTTTAGAAAAGGCAGGTCCTACTTGACCAAGCTGATCGCCTTTTATGACCTGCCTGGTAAATGAGGGAAAGGCTGTGGATGTGCCTACCTGGACTTCAGCAAAGCCTTGGACACTGTCTCCTGTGACATTCTGCTGGAGAAGCTGGCAGCCCCCAGCTTGGACAGGTGCACTCTCCACTGGATTGAAAACTGGCTGGATGGCCGGGCCCAGAGAGTGGTAGCAAATATGTTGCATCCAGTTGGCAGCTGGTTGCTAGCAGGATTCCCCAAGGCTCGGTTGTGGGCCCCAATCCTGTTTAATATCTTTATTGATGGTGTGGACAAGGGGATCAAGTCTACCCTCCGTAAATTTGCAGACAGCACTAAATTGGGCAGAGTGTTGATCTGCTGGATGTAGGAAGCAGATGCCTCTGTAGAGGCATCTGGACAGGTTAGATCACTGGGCCAAGGTCAGCTGTATGAGATTCAATAAGACAAAGTGCTTGTTCCTGCACTTGGATCCCATCAACCCCATTGCAGTGCTACAGGCTGGGGGAAGAGTGGCTGGAAGGCAGCCCAGCAGAAGAGGACCTGGGTGTGGTGGTTGACAGCCAGGTGAACATGAGCCAGCAGTATGAATCTTGGCCTGCATCAAAATGGTGGAGGCAGGATCAGGGCAGTGACTATTCCCCTTGTACTCGGCACTGGCTGCACCTCAAATCCTGTGTCCAGTTCTGGGCCCTTCACTTCAAGAAAGACTTGAGGTGCCAGAGCAAGTCTAGAGAAGGGCAGTGGAGCTGGGGAAGGGTCTGGATTGCATGTCCTATGAGGAGCAGCTGAAGGAGCTGGAACTGTTTAGCCTGGAGAAAAGGAGGCTCATGGGAGACCCCATTGCTCTCTGTAACTACCTGAAAGAAGGTTATAGCAAGGTGGGGGTCTCTTCTCCAAGGCAGCTAGTGACAGAACAAGAGGAAAGAGCCTCAAGTTGCACCAGGGTAAGTTCAGGTTGGACATGAGGAGGAATTTCTTCACTGAAAGGGTGGTCAGGCATTGGAACAGGCTGCTCAGGGAAGTGGTGGAGTCATCATCCCTGGAAGAGTTCAAGGAAGGACTGGACATGGCACTTAGAGTTCGGTCAAAGATTGGACTCTATGATCTAGGAAGTCTTTTCCAACCTCAATGATTCTATGATTTTTATATACTTGCCAGATAAATTATATTTCTGTCATGAGAATTCTGAGATTAAGAAAAATTCTCCCAACCTGGACCAAGATGAAATCGAAACTTTTAAAGTTCATCATGCAGAGACACAAAGTCACAAGTCTGGCAGGTGTGAATTTCATCATTACATGGGAGAACCTTCCTCTGTCACTCTTATGTCTTCTGTGAGTCATTTGAATTAGAAAGATACAGACCATCCTACAGTGACACTTTTTTTCTCCTGTCTTAAGGAATTAATCAAATCCTCCCTGAATCACTGTATTGCAGCATCACAGAGTGCTGTACATCTTCCCTTGTTCTCCTCACATCTCTGACCAAAGCTACAATGTAGGACTTGATCATGACTGGCAAAGGCCAACCAGTTAAAGTTTCTGAAGGCATTTTCTTGATTTTTAGCTTTGAAATGTGTTTTGCTTTTGAAAATTAGTAAGAGCAGGTATACATGCATAAAAAGTGTTCACAAAATTGGTGTTTTCTATTCCACTAAAAGTTGTGAACACATGTCTTCATGAGTTTCCTGGTTGCAGATATATATGCACATAATCCCAAGGAAGTTCCCAGTACGAATAAATATTGTTTAGATTATAGCAGCAACAAAAATGTGCAGTTCAGTTGAATATACATGTCACAGCCAAGTATTTCCATGTGTTACTGTTTTCTTACATGTCTTTTTTTGCATCCATATCCTCCCTGCTTTGTTACTTCCACTTCAGACATCATGTGTATCTTACACAACAAGCTTTATAGCGGTCTTTTTGCTTTATCTCTTGAATAGTGCCATCCTTAGCTTATGTACCCTACAAAACAATGTCAGCAGGAAGTTGGGCAAATAATTTGCCAAATATTATTTTCACTAGCCTGCTAAGCATTTAACTAAATTATCACTGGAGGATCCACAAAGTTGATACTATATAGATTGTGCTCAGATCATGTAAGTTTTTTCACACAGCTTTTGTGTCTGTTTTTTTCTTTCCATACCATAAGCTTTTGCCTATTGCCAGACTAACAGATTAATGAAAAATAATGTAATAGGCCAATTCCTTTTGTAATTATACTATGTAGAAGAAAATTCCTCAATTCTTTCCTTGCATTACATAAATTACAATTTACATTATTCTACTGAGTTAGTTTGAAAACTAAAGCCTCATAATTTTTAAAACAATATTTGCACTGTAGAGTTTAACTTCCCAAAGCAAAAAGGAGTGGAAAAAATCTACCATAAATATGAGGTATATTAAGACATTTCATCATGTCATATTTCTGCTTAATCAATGCCCTATTTAGAAACTACTCTAATAATGTATCTTGGAATACAGTTTACAGTTTTCCATGTGTATGCATGTTGAGTAAATTAATACATTTTAAAATGTATTTAATGCACAGCTTTTTGAAGTTAACTTTTTATAGATATTTCCTTCAGTTCTACATTCCAGAGCTCAGCAAGCTGTTCTGTAGAGCCACCAGTCTTTGCAGTGGGCCAAAACCAGATGAAATTTGCCTTTGTTTATTATCTTTTTTCAGCTAACAGTTTAAAGAGTGAATTTGAGCTAAGCAGAGAAAGTAAAGCTTTTTCCAATTTATTCAGGAGTGCTATCAGGGAATTTCTTTTACCTCTGTAGTGGTTTGGACTTTGTTTTCCCCCAGAGGCTAAGAAAAGTGGTAGACCCCAAGGGGTGGAAACCCCTGGAAGTTTTGAAGTTCTGCCCAATGGGCGCTCCTGCAGAAATGTCAACATATCACAAGCTCACCAGAAGAGATGAGTTGTAGTTTGGTTGTGGTAGGAGAGGTGGCCATGTTGTAGAGCCACGAGGAAGGGGCTCTGAGCCCCTTGGGGCCTCTGGGGCCTCCCAGCCCCGGCTGGGGGGATTGCAGAGACTTGGAACAGTGTTAGACTGGACTAAGTGTCTGTAGTTATGCCGGGAGATGTTTTTCTCCCGGCACAGAGCAGCAGCCGGCAATGACCAGAGAAACGGTGGCAGAGAGCCAGAGATAAGACCTGAACCGGAGAAGCAGCAGAAGCAACATGCAGCACCAGAGAAAGGACTCCTGGAAGGAGAGCCAGGAAAAAGAGAGCCAGCAGCTGAGAGACAGAGTTCTGGGGGTAAGACTGTACCAGCCCCCCAAAACTCCTTTGAGATCCCTCTGAGAAAAGAGGGAGATGGACTCCTATTAAGGAGATGAGTTTTAGACATGCAGCACCGGAGAGAGAGGAGCTAGAGAGCTCCAAGAGGAATGCGGGGGGAGTTGACCTTGGCTCCCCCCCCTCGCACTGCTGCCACGGTGGCAGCCTGAGAGACAGGGCACAGAGGCCCTGCAAGAGATACCAGACCGTCACGAAGACCCCCCTGTGTCTTCGTGATATGACGTGGTGAAACGACCTTGTCTGGGGTTACGAAGCCCACGGAAGACCCCTTTGCCTGCGTCAAGGGGGCCGAGGGAGCTTGGATACCTCCCTCGTGAGTGCTGGCAGAAATCCAGCTATCAGCTGCTGCATGTGGAGAGGACAGACAGATCGCTGCCTTAGAAGATGCTGCTGCTTAAGGACTGGAAGGGATCTGTCCTTCTTTCCCTCCTGGACTTTTATTTGGAGGGGAGAGGAGATCTGATCCATTGTAAATACATATGTCATGGTAGAGATAGTTGTGATCATGTGTATAATGTGATATGGTATTTATTTGTACAGTCATTGTAATATATTCCCTTTCCCCCACTTTGAGTCTGGTGTGTTTTGTCTGGAAAAACCCATCTCACATTAGGCTGAGATGTGGGAGGGGGCTTAGAGCTAGGGAACTGGATTTTGGGGCTATCTCAAACCATGACAACCTCTTACCTTGGCTGCAAGATGTTGGGCTGCATGACCGATTTCCAGTATTCTCAGTCCTCATTTCACTTACCTGTCTCTTCTTAGTATTTGTGGCTTTATCATTTCTGGATATAAATATTAGTTACACTGCTGTAGGTAATATTACCTTGTTTGGAATGAACGAGGGCAAATTACTAGTTTTTCTGTTCCAAGCATAAACAAATTATTTATTTATTTATTTATTTCACACTAACCTTTCTGTACAGAGTTGCAATACAGCAGTGAAAGACCTGAATGACTAACAATGAAGCATACTGTTAACAGAGATCCTGTACATGTGTCTTTATCCCCTCTCTGTTTTTTTATTCACCTCTTTGCTAGTCTGAAATTGATTTGTTGGGTCATATAAATTTTTATATACAGATTATTTTGTTCTTCTTTCAGATGGTATCTCTGCTCCAATTGGTTGTTCCATTTTCAGTCTGTTCCTGGTAATCCTCAGGGATTACCAGGAGACCAGGTTAAACAACCAGGTACCAACTTTTGAAAATAGAATATGAAGCAGGTGCTAGACTTCTGGGCTTGTTGAATTCACTTTTTCTTTGGTCCTCACAGAAAACTGGGGTATTCTAGCTACAGGCCAGAGAGCAGTGGTTTTAATTTGTTACGAACATGAATCAACAAGATTTTCTTAGCAGACCATTGTTTGCTTAAATTTGAAGAAAACCTACCAATAAAAGTCAGCTTCCCGGTTCCCCTAAGCTTATATTTCAAGTTATGAACTGAGTGGAATTCTTGTAAAAGAAAAAAAATGAGTATTTTTAACAATTTCAATGCATTAAGAAGGGGATTATGCTACTGCCATAATAATCTTATGTTTTCAAAATATTAATCTTTTTATGCTATCATAGTAGCCCCTTCTTACCAAATGGAAGAAGTTTCTTGTTGACAAAATATGAATTTTTTATACTCTTAAGGCACAAAGCTGTCAAATTATCAAATATAATTTCTCAGCAGATATATCTTGTGTTTGTATTTACAGAACACACATGTGCCACAGTAACCACATTTCAAAGTTTGATCCTTTAAAGTATTTACATTGGGTTTTCAG